ACAAACACACACACACACACACACACACACACACAGGGAGAGGGAGAATACACAGACGAATCCTGCCCGCAACGACGTCGTTTCATGTTGATTCTTCCAAATCGACAGCCTCTGCACAAGAACCAAGCTTTCTTCTCTCTACACTTCAATTTTCACAAGAACCAACACTTGGGGTTGGGGGGAAACAAATCGCTTTTGTGGATAAAAGGGTCTAGTGGTTTCAATTTGTCTTGTCTATATTTCGCGTTTTACAGTGAGTGTGTGTGTGTGTGTGCAGGTGGAGTACGTACGTTGTCCAATGGCGGTTCGCTACCTGTTTTTTGAATGTACGGACTGTGCTCCTTTTTTGTCTTCATTTGTTTTCTCCATTTATTAACTAAACTGAGTCAATAATTGAGTTTGACCTTGAATTCGCTTCCTTTTATCAATACGAGTTACTCTTGAGTCTTAATTATTAAACAAGATTATTAATGAGCAAAATTATAGGAAATTCTTTTCCAATTTTATTGAGTCGGTTTTCCTAAATCAAATTTAAATGAGCTCGAGCTGCTCAAATCGCTTATCAAATGTGTCTGAGTCAAAACAACCGGCTCATTTTTTGTTTGACTTAACTTTTGTGACATTTGATACTTCTATTATTTAAGAACCATTTAATATTTATAATAATATAAATAAATTTGCTATTTTATGAAATGAACAGAATATGTTGACTTATTTTTAGTTCAATGCTCACCACTGATTATATATTACACTCAATCATCCCTCCTATAAAAAAATAGATCATTCATTTATTTCTCATTTTCGCTCTACTCCATTCACTTTTTTCATAACGTATGTTTCGAATTAAAATTCAACTATTACTATACACATATCTATACTTTATTATTTACCCTCTCATATATTTACAGCTATCCAGTATTATTTTATTATTTTTTTCTCAACTACAAAAAATTTATAATTTATATTGCATCATAATTAAATATTCTATTTGACATCACATCAATTTATATTACAAATTAAAAACTCTTTCACTAACTATTATTCATTCAACACCATCCAATTCCACCAATTGATTATTTAAAATTTATATTTAATTGCACAATTATTAACTAAATAATATTTAATCGGATCATTGGACAACTCAACACAATTAGAATCACTATATGTACATAAGTTCAGAAAAAAAATTATCATAAATTATTTTTTCACGTTGTCCAATTTGTTGGAATACCTAAATTAACTTTTTATTTTGATCACTCAAACAATTAATGAACAAATAAAAAACCTGGCATGTGGTTATTTAAAAAAAATAATATGGTTTGAAGTTTTTTTTAATCAAGTTTAAATGACATTTTTGTTCGTACTTAAACCTTTGGGTATAGGCACTAGGGTTTAAGCTTTCTTCCTGCTTAATCGTCGTCTTTGAGTCTCACACCAGTTTCATCCATGGCTACTGCTCTCAGATTCCTGCTTCAAAAATCGACTTCCCGAGCAGTATTTCCCCCTCCAGCCGATTGTCGTTTTGACCTCTCCCTGCTCAGAAAGCTGAGCTCCTCCTTCCTTTATCACGGATCATTTTCGAATCATCGGGGAGATTTTCGGTCAAGAAATTTCTCCACGGAGGCATCTGAGGAGGTGGTCACTCAAGACTTGAATTCGTCTGTTGTTGCAGCTCTGAATCTCGACACTCGTGTTCCGGCCACCGTGATCACCGGATTTCTGGGCTCCGGGAAGGTGAGAAGTTAATCCCGCGCGCCACTTTTTTTATGTAGTTTATTTAGTGATGTGCTGTTGTTTTTATGGACTACTGAAGCTTGGATTATTTTTGCGATCATGTTTATCCCTTTTCGGTCTGGTGTTGGGCTGGAACAGAGAATTATTGTGGACCATTTTGGATTTTAAGAACGAGAACCTTCCTTTCAAGTTATTTCACTTTTATCTTTATTTTTTCCAGTACCAGAATGTAAGATTCTCATTTGATGACGTAAAGTTGAATGTGTTGTGACTAAAGGATTCATCAGCTTGTAGTCAAAGTGGTGGTTCAAACAGAAAATGTGCCTTGGATCATGCATATTTCTGCTTATTATGTGTTAGGCGGTTGATTATGGACTACTGATTGTGGACCGTTTTGGTTTTTAAGAACAAGATTGTTCCTTTCGAGTTATTTCATTTTTTATCTTTGTCTTTTCAGTGAATAGAATATTTGCCTACCAGTATGTGAGGTTTTGTATTTGATGGCGTCAAGTTGAATGTGTTGCGATTAAAATGATTCATCAGCTTGTGGTCCAAATGGTAGTTCAAGCAGAAAAATGTGTATAGGATCATGCATTTTTCAGCTTATTTATACTGTTTCACTGATTTATGAGAAAAGATTATTTCTTCTTTGGTTTTTGTCCTCCTTTTCTCCTTTCTATGTGATCGAATTAACTTTTCGGCCCGATGGAATGGACTGTTGATGTGTTTCCACCATTAATGGTGTCAATAACATGTTATTTCTTTCGAGGACACTTTTAAGAATCCGTGGCCTGTATACCACATGCTTGTACATTTTTTTGTATGTCCAATGTTCTGAAGATCTTCCATGACTTTACAATGCAGACCACCCTTTTGAATCATATATTAACATCTCAACATGGAAAGCGGATTGCAGTCATAGAGAATGAGGTATGTTTTTTTATCTTTCTGGTTATATCATAATATCCAGCTTACCTTAGTGGACAACTTTCCATAAAAGACTTAATCGGACGAGATAGATACTCAACAAGTAAAGCAGTAAGTAATAAAGCAGAACACTATTCCTTTACATTTTGTGATTTTTTGGGTGCAGTTTGGTGAAGTAGATATCGATAGTTCGCTAGTTGCTAGTCATTCCTCGTCTAATGAGGATATTATCATGGTAAATAATGGTTGTCTATGCTGTACTGTGCGTGGAGATCTTGTCAAAATGTTACTGGAATTGGTGAAGAAGAAGAGAGACAAATTCGACCACATTGTCATAGAAACAACAGGTATGTTAAATGTGTGAATGGGGAAATGCAATTTCAATCCATTCGTGTTTGTAAATCTGGCAAAGAGCATCTTGTATGATTATATGGACAGACATATGATGAACGAATGACTCCATTATTGTGGTTTTCAAGAGTTAATTACAAAATCATCCTTGAGATTCGACCAAGTTTCATTTGATGTTAAGATTATGGTCCTAACTTTGACATTTTTATAAATACAGAAGAGGCTTTTGAAACATTATTTGTGGACTGCGNGATATATTTGTGTATTTAAAAGCTAGCTTGATTATTTTTTTGGCGATTAGCTGAAAACGCATGGGTACTCGTTTACTTATCTCTCTATTTAATTCTCTGGCCCTCTCTCTCTCTCTCTCTCTCTTTTCTGGGGTTTTGTTATTCAGGTCTTGCAAAGCCTGGTCCAGTGATTGAAACATTTTGTAGTGACGAGCTTTTGGCACGCCATGTGAAACTTGATGGAGTTGTTACTTTAGTCGACTCCGTGAATGCCATTAAACACCTGAATGAAGTAAAACCAAGATTCGTGGTGAATGAGGCTGTGGAACAAGTTGCTTTTGCAGACCGTATTATTTTAAACAAAGTATGTGGATTTCTGCTTATACGACTTACTTATTCTTTCTTTTCACCTTCCTAGCTGGTGCAGAATTTCCTTGGAACAATTTTTTTCCTAACATATAGGGTTTTTTGTACTTATGTTTTTCGGGTTGATGTTAACAGATAGATCTGGTGAGTGAGGCTGAAGTGGAGTCACTGAAAAAACGGTTAAAGGTAATATTTCTTTTTTGCGGATGAGAAAATGAAGAAAATTATATAAAAAAAATGACTGTTACTTTGCAATTGGTCGACATATATCAACTAATTCTTTTACAAGAGTATTCGAGAACAGTCGTGAATATAAATGTTGTGTTTTATGCTTGAATTCTCTAAATTGCAATCAAGAGGTTGCATTTTTTTTTCTCATTATATTTTATATGTTACTGTTGAGTTCAAGTTTTTGCGTAGATTTTCTGCACATGTAGTTTATTTCACAAGATTATCTCGGTTCTATTTTCCAGCTCATTAATGGGATAGCACCAATTAAACTAGCTAAGTACGGGGAAGTCGACATGGACTTTGTATTGGGGGTTGGAGGTTATGATCTTGACAGGTACATGAATATTCTCATTACTTGTTTTCGAAAAAGAAATCCATCTATGGTAAACTTTTGGATTATTGAAAAATATATTCTGTGACCAAGTGATACCTTTTGTTCTTGTATTATTATTATCATGGCCAACTAATGATTATGTGATCCTTAAATGCTCCTTTTTTTTTGTTCTTCAGGATTGAATCTGAAGTCAAATCAGATGATTCTCATTGTTCTCATCATCAACATGAAACTGGAAATGGTAATGCTACAACTTTATTCATATACGTTAGACTGTCAAATTTCACTTGCGAAAAGTTTCAGATCATTTTTTTCTTAGTGCTAATTTTTATCTAGCAAAATCTTGTGGAGTAATCACGATTTGTTCGGTATAATATATTTGGCATGTGTAGGAAATAAGCATTGCAGACACTAGGTCCCAGTAAATTGGTTATAATATATGCTATATAGTGTAAATTTTATCACGGTAAATTTTTTAATAAAAAAAATATACCTTTTTCTTATAACTTCCTTTCAGAGCATCATCACAAAGGGCACAATCATGATCATGTGCATGATTCAGCTGTCACAAGTGTCAGTATTGTTTCGGAAGGGACCTTAGATCTCGATTATGTAAGGGCTTCTTTCATTGTGGATAAGCATCTTTTTTCTCACATTTTCCTTCAATAAGAATTAAAAATAATATTGATACAGTAAATGTTAAACTAAATTTCCATTTTGATCGACTCAGTTTGATGATTGGCTTGAAAGATTGGTAGACGAGAAAGGGGACGATCTTTACAGGATGAAAGGGATACTCTCAGTTAGCGACTCTGATCAGCGTTACGTCTTTCAGGTTTTTTTTACCACTCAACAAAATCCATCAAAATGTCTGATTTTGGGGGTAAAAAGTAAAAAACGAGATCTTGGGGGATTCTTTTTGTGTAATTCTTGAAAGTTAGCTAGAGTTTGTTGTTACCAGGTCCAATCTCAAGGGTATTTTCTTACAGTTTAAGAAAAAACAAAAAAAAAAAAAAGATGTTTTACTTAGCGTTATTTGATAATGTTTGCAGGCTGTACACGCTATTTTCGATGGGTGCCCAGGCAAGGAATGGGGGCCCGACGAGAAGAGGGTAAACAAACTCGTGTTTATCGGGAGGAACTTGGACGAAACTGCCCTTAGGAAAGGGTTTAAGGGCTGTTTGGCGTGAGCAGAAAGCGCGGCAAAGTCATGGGCTTTTTGAGTAAATTCGATCGGTCCATGTTAGAAATATGATGCCCAATTATGTATTTTGACAATGTGATCTTTGAAAGAAGTAAAAGCCTAGAGACATTGTGTTAGAAATATGGATGTGTATTTAAATTTTTTATTTTTTATTTTTTTATTTTCATTTTTTATTTTTATTTATGGGGGTGATATTTTATAATTCTGCAAGAGTTGGATGCTTTTCATAATCCATGGACAGTGTGTAAATGTGTAATGGGGTAATTCTTGAAAAATGTTTGTAACATAGAGGGACAAAGGTGGAATTGAGTAGACTTTGGGTTAACTAATTAGTGATAGATAATTAGTTGTTTGAGTAAGCAAAAATAACTAAAATTGTAATTTTATATTTAAAAAAAAAACTGTATATTGAGTTTTTTGAAAATTAGCGTTATGAATCTATAAAACTATTTCAACCAGTTACTTACCAATTAGAAATATTAGAGATTATAACGGTCAAACCTTTGTAAGTCACTCTAGATTCTTTAATTCAGCTAATTATCAACCAAGTATTGTTTGAACATAAATTTTGGTATGAGGCAACATGATATATGAATAGATGAGTCTGTGTATTATATTTTTTGAATAAAAGTATAATTACCTGTATGCATTTTGAGTAAAAATGAATTTACTCAAATTTTAATTTTTTTATTTGGAAAAAATAAGAAGTTGTCCTTCAAATTATTAAAATTGTAAGTTTAAACTCCAATTGAACTAAATGTTGTGATTACATTGGGCTCTTTAGCTCGATGTATTTGTGTATTTGTGGTTAATATAAAATTTCCTATCGTTGCGAAAAAAAAAATAAAAAAAAACTAAATATTGTGATTTATTTTTAATAAATCAATTAAATTTGCCAAAGCGGGTTTAGTCATTGGTGGGAAATAAAGGATGAAAAAGAACTACCCAATGAGAGAGAGAGAGAATATAAAAGGAGCTCAATCCACAAACTCAGTCCACAAGTGAAACATTTATTAGTTTTATTTATTATTTAATTTATCCTCAACAACATAAAATGTTAGCAACCTCTCAACATTAAAA